TCTCTCTCTCTCTCTCTGGGTAAACTTGCTATACGTCCCCCAAAACTGTTTTTGTGACTTCAGCCTTTTTCATGAACTGTGATTCGATGATAGATTCTATAAAGCCTTGATGATGTAATCTTTTAGAAGTAGATCTAGCTCACTATTCATCCGGAAGAATCTGTCTCGCTTTGACTTAGGCCTACCGATAACCAAAAAACTGAAATGTGTACATTTATATACGGATGCTATCTTGACATTGACATAATATCTCTTAAGTGTTTTATTGTAACTAATAACAACATCAGAAGCTGTTGTTGCCCTCCTGAATCACAAATTCAACAGCAGCAGACTTATCATGACAAAGGTCTACGTCTGGCATTTTAGGCCGTTTTGAGTTACTAAGATCATGAGGTCAGAAATCGAATGTTCTATTTGCTCTATCAAAATCGCAAGATTATTCGGAGTTGTTATCGAGATATTCAAAGAATTGCATTCGAAAAAGCATGCACACAAAAAAGACAGACAGAAAGAAAGAAAGAAAGACAGAAAGAAAGAAAGAAAGAAAGAAAGAAAGAAAGAAAGGCAAGGATTTTTTTGTAAAGATAATAAATAGACATCTTTGTAGACACAATTTTCTGAAGAGCAAATTATAAAGCTGTTTTTCTATTAAGGTGCAGCCAGACCCTACCCATAATGTGAAAGAGCCACAGACAGGCTCTAGGAATCTCCTTTCCCATCTTTTTTTGGTTTGAATCCGTCAAAGGCTTTTTAAATGCTAGACTAGCAAGACCAAGCAATTTTTGTTATTCCAAAAGGCGCTCGTGTTTCAACACATGGACACTGCAACACAAATTAAGTAATACACTTAGCGTCAATAAAAACCAGACACATTTTAATTGCGTGTTTCATGAAAAGTTGAAAACCCATTGAGCTGAAATTTTCCACACGTGATTGTGAACGCTTGACGCTCCTGATCAGCCTGCATTTATGATCAGGTGCCCAGTTGATAAAGCTCAGGTCTTGTTTTGTTAAAAACCGTGTTTTGTCATTTTTCTGGAACGTTTTTGGTTTTTAAATTTTATTTTATGGGTTTAACACATCTTTTATCTGTAGCCAATGATAAAACGTTAAAAGTTTCATTTCAAAACATCTAAATCTAAAGATACAGCATGCCACGTTTAACGAACGAAGAGCGCAATCAGGCAGTTGGTATGCTGAGGGCCAATACCCCAGTTGTGAATGTTGCAAGGACCTTCAATGTGACAAGAGACACGATATATCGACGAATGAATCGTTTGCTGACGTCTGAATCCGTGCAGGATGGTCCCCGGACGGGTCGTCCTAGAGCTACAACACCAGCCCATGACCAGTACATTCGGGTCTTGCACCTACGAGATCGCTTCCGGCCTGCTACCAAGACAGCCAGGGAGTGGAAGGGACGGAGAACCATAAGTGCGCCGACGCTTTAGACCTCAGCCGGTCACCTTGGATCAGCTTCGTACAGCACTAACAAACATATTATATAACAACATTCCACAGCATCCCATACAAAGACTTGTGCGAAGCATGCGGCAGAGGTTCACAGAAGTCACCAATGCCCACGGCGGCTATACGCGGTATTAACTGTGACTTCATTTTAGGGCCTACAATTAAAAGATCAAATTTAAGGAAATAAGGTTCATTTTTAAAAATTGTTTTTTGTGTAATTGATTTGTAAAATGTTCAAACTTTCCTTTTTGAGAGATTGTTTCTGGTTAAAATCAGTCTTTCAATACAAAAAAAAAAACACTTAAAAAGGGGTGTCTGGTTTTTTTTAACGCCAAGTATATACGCGATATCATGCGTCCGCGTCTAGCAATGTCACACAAGTTGGCCGTACCCCAAATGTAAAATAAAAAATTACGTAGCTTTAATGTAAACGATTTATTGGGCAATTAAGTTCACCTTGAGGAGAGGCGGCTTGACATGAAAGGTTCTGATCTAGTGAATGGAAGAAATGAGGAGAAGTGCTGAAACGTCCGAAAACAAGAACAAGTTTTTTGTAGGTCTCCATGATGTCTTCACAAACAACTACGGATGACTGGTTTTCCCGTGTTTGACATGAGCTTAATATTTGCCCGGAGCTTTTTTTTCAGCATACAGGTGAAAAGCAATAGCATAACAAATAGGTCTGGTCTACACATAAATATATTAATTAAAAAAAAGTGGAACATTTAACGCCGTGAATGCCCAAAAAATCAGAGTGGAAAGGAATGAAAGGTAATCGCCGCTGTAGAAACTAGTGATGGGCCTCTTCGTCGGATAGATCTACATGATATAAAAATGTTTCGAAAGGTAGCTCCATGTAGGGCTGATGTACACGTGTAATTGGAGTTCGGAAAATAACAGCAGCATGCTTCCCTAACTTTGACTACGTCGCCAACATGTAATTTTTAAAGCCTAATACGGGGTGCTCACTACGGCTGGATCGGGCTGATCGCTCGACTCGATCGCCTGAAACTGAAAACAAACACGTTTGTTTTTGAGGCAATCGAGTCGGGTGATCGGCCCGATCGGCTGATCCCAGCCGTAGAGAATCTAGTGGAAGGCACCCGTATAAGAGGAGTAACGTAATTTGGGTAACGCAAGTAGAGTTGAATAACAAGAAAGTTAAAAGCACAGGGAATAAAGTAAAATTAATTGAAAAGTTAGCGTAAGTGATGCAAAAAAAAGTACTCAGTGAAAGTATGCCTAATCATCCAAAATGTAGCTAATTCTGGTATATTATTATGTAAGTAGTTTTTAATCTTAAAAAAAAAAGACAATGGGATTAGTTGGAAGCTCATTTCGTTTTCTACGTTTTCAATTTCTGAAGCATGATTTATTATAACATCATTTCAAATATCTCCCCAAAATGTAGGTCTACAACTACAAGAAAGTAATTGCATCCTTTTAAACATGTTTTTCTCAGTTTTTGGGGACTGGTGTTAACGGATGCGTCAGCCAGCTTTAACACACATTGTTTCTTTATAGATCTAGTCTCTCTGGTTGATTTTCTCATATCTCTTTTCAATTTATTTTTCTTTTCAGGCTATTAATCAGAAGAGTGAACCAAGTCTATGAACTGAATGTTTTTGGTTAATTGTTTTCTTTCATTCTGAAAAGTCTGCAGCAATGTTAGAATGAAGGTAACCTCATCCCTGAATCACAAGCCGGTTTAAGTAGGACGACATAATTTTACTATTGATAATACATTTTCACCACAGTCTTTAGTTAAAAAATATATCTTTCTCTCTGTCTCTGCACTTTCTCTGTTTGTCTGTCTGTCTGTCTGTCTGTCTGTCTGTCTGTCTGTCTGTCTGTCTGTCTGT